GTATAGTTAAGGAGCATCATCTTTGACAACATGATTTATAGGTTAATAGTACAATTTGATTTTGTCAACAATATGCATAAACTATTTGCAATTGACGTTAAGAAAACAATTAATATTAATCATGTTATCACAACTTGCAAAAGTACCGATCGCGAAACAACGATAAAGCAACCTGTGCTTTTTAAGGGATTGTTCGGTTGCCAGGTCTAGTATTTCGTTTTGTCTAGGTAGTCTTCGGTTTCGATACTGATAGATTTCACCTTTCAAGTAAAGTGTACTTTGTAATCAAAAAATGATACAATCAAAAACGAAGGAATGCAACTCCGGCATCAAAGTTCACCTCACATGGTAGAATATCTTGTTTTAGTCCAAAGTTATAATTTTTGTAAAAGTTTAAATTAATTGCAATTGGCTTTCCGAAATAGTTTCTTTAATCTAATAGTTTATAATGATCGTTGCATGTACTACAGAATAAAGTATAACGTTTGTCAGTATTATATGCTTATTTCACGGTAAAAATCAATAAAACTATACAAAACCACAAAAAGATAACAGATCAGAAAATAAATATAGAGAGAGAAAGAGAGAGAGATACATATTACAAAATCAGTTTCGATATTCTCGAGATATGGATTCTCAATTGATCAGTTTCCATACAGACTGACCAATTTAGACAGTAAAAATCAAACGATAAACATTGGACCAATGATAATCCGTCCAATTCTTGGCATATTAAAGACTTAAGCTTGTTACAGGCATTTCTTTACTCACAATTTCAACTATTCCGAATGATTCATAATCTAACCCTTTAAATTTTCTCTTGCAAATATAGCTTTAATCAAATGTAACTACCACCGAATTATTTACCCGATGACAACGGATATGTTCCAATAGTCGTAACTACAATCCCATCCCCTTTTCCCCCGAATGTGACCTAACAAATTAGACTTATCACTGGGTTTGTCCTAACATGAGCAACACGACGGGTGCTATATATGGAGTAGGATCTGCTCACCCTTCCGGAGCACCTGAGATCACCCCAAGTTTTTAGGGGGATTCGTGTTGCTCAGTCTTTAGTTTTCTATGTTGCGTTTCATGTACTGTCGTTTTTACAGTTCCAAAGGACGAATTATATCATTTCTCGTTCACAATGTACTCTATTACCGGTAATCTACATGCCGAGATTATGCAGAATAATCAAGTGATAGGCCGAATATATGGACATTCTTCCGGCGTATCAGCAGCAGTTAACGTAGTGATTTCATGTAAACTGGGAGATTCAGTTTTTGGACGTCACATGGCAGGAATAGGTGCTCAGAACATCCACGGGTCAGGATATACAGCATTCTCTGGATCTTTAATTAACTAGTAATTTCAAACGGAAGATGAAATCATGAAACAATGTACTGCAACAAAGAGTGTCATTTCAAACCTGAAGTCCTATTAATCCTACAAGTCATTCATTATTTTTTTTTCACTTTAGTCGAGATTAAACAATAAGCAGTTAATTTTCAATAACAAGAGGCCAAGCTTTCCAGAGATAATTCACGATTATCGGTCTTTTTTGCATTTGAGAAAATTGCCGAATAAGACTCGGATTCAATTGTACAAAAATTAGGACTTACATTTCTTTGAACACAACAGGAGATAACACACCTTGTCAGAACACTGTTTTGCAGTAGGTCGCGTAAAGGAATGACGAAGCATCGTTTAGGAACAAAATAGATGCAAGAGGAACACATAACATAAAAAAGATATTTTGGGGCAAAGTGTTGAAGAAAGTAATGAAGAAAACGTATTGTACCATTACAAAAATTAGAAGATGTGGTATGATTGCCAAATGATACAACTCTCCACAAGAGACCAAATGACACAGAAAATAATAACTATAGGTCACCGTACGGCCTTTAACAATAAACAAAGTCCATATCGCATAGTCAGCTATATTGAGCCCTGATCTGACAAATGTAAAACAATTCAAACGAGTAAACTAACGGCCCAATTTATGTACAAAATAATGAACAAAAAATAAACATGAAACACAGCAGCAAAGGACAACAACTGAATTACAGGCTCCAAACATGGGACAGGCACATACAGAATGTGGCGGGGTAAATCTCGTTTGAAGGCGCTAACCCTCGCTAAGCAGTTATGTAACAGTACAACAAAAGAACAAACAATAAAAATCAGTTGAAAAAATCTTAACTCATCAGAGGAATACAAATAGAAATCTATCTAACAAAACACAGAGTGGACGTGGCATGGTACTTTAACAACCCCACAACAAAAAGACACTAAGTACAGATCTGAGAGTACTCGCAGTTACTGACAGTTAGTTCAAAGCCAATAACAACTAATTAAAAAAAGCATGCATCTAAGACTAAAATATAAATCAGTACACATCAAACATCCAAAGAATTTATTGTAAAGACGGCATAAACAGTCAGAGAAAAAACATTACCTTGTACATTCCCAAGATACAGGTATAGACAGATTGTACAGCCATGAGTGTGCATATGTATATAAAAGTAATGTTTAGTATTATATTAATTTACTGATAACAAAATTAATTTTAATACCATAATACCAATAAAACAATATTCAAAGATCTAATTACAGTGTTGACTTGATAACCTTTGAGAATAAGTTTAAACAATCATAAGTTTACCCGGATCGTTTTTAAAATTCCGAGGTCGGGAATCAACATCACCGTGAAAATTAGGATGTGCTATCCCCTTTGAAATAAGTTTTCTACAGCTACAACCAAACTTCAAAACCAAATCTTTATATCTATGGAAGAATTTATTAAAGGTTTTAAGTTTTTTCATGGTAACGAAATCCCTGACTTAATAGTTTACCAGTTATATATAGATAGAAATCCAACACGTCACAACAGACACGGGCATAGCGAACGAGTTATGATAAATGAACACCGTAAGATGGTGCAAAACTTGCTCTTTTTAAGTGATAATTTTAAGATGGCGTGTATATCTTCTAAAAATAAAACATATAGCTTTGCATCGTGGTGCAAAGCAAACAGGAATAACAACACAAATGCATAGCCCTATTGTGTTCTATGGTAAACGCTTCAACTTCAAACATTCATAGCTACTTTATCTTTAGTTAAAATAAAGTGACACCCATTTCACGTCAGAACTATTTTTCGTCCTGACTTGTGCTGAAAACTTAGCAAACATTCAATAGCATATTAAAGTTCATTGGTGCCCGAGAGATTGGTAGAACAAAACAGGTACTTCTGATCTGAGCAACAGGTTAAATGTGTCCTCCTATCACAATTTCGTATATTTTTATCATTAAAAGGAAAACTTTCACAAGGATTTTACTGTAATATTCAGTCCATAATCTTTCATTTGATACCAAAACTACCCAAATATATACCTTATTGACAAAGGCGTAGGAACGTAAAAAATAAATATGTACTATTTTTTTGTATGATCGTTTCCAGAATTACTGGTTCTATACCTATACTTGAAAATAAAATTAATATTTTCACAATATTGAATATCTAAATGTTAGAAAAATATATTGAAATGTAATGCAAGATATCAGCGTCAATTCACATCTGACGATTTTTTATTGAGATATAATTGAATAAACGTACAAATGCATGATAGTTAAATTGTGCAATTAAAGTTACTTCTCGTTGCATACAATATTTATATAATAACTAATCCAAGAATTTAAATATAGGAAAATAATCAACGCGTGACCGAACAACACATTATTTACGAGTGCGACTGCGAAAGAGTTTATTTTCAGTGCTGTTCGTGCACGAGTTGAATATTTTTCGATATTTTAATTCTTGAATTAATTAGTTATTCTTTTTATAACATAGGGCATTGACTGTTAAATGAAAATAGAGTAGGAAATGAAGGTTATGGTTATCGTTTTGATATTGTTTTACATCTCCCTTTTATTTTTATTAATATTGTATTTATATTGTGTCATAGATCAAGTTTCTTCGTCAGTGTATCTTTAATTGTTTTTGTTAATATGTCTTTTTAATTCAGTTAAGCCGTTTCAATTGTTATTTCATAGCGTGTCTTTCTATGTTGTAATGTTACACTACTATTTCAGGTTAGGGTGAAGGTTGGCGCCTGTAAAAACATTTAAACCCGCTGCATTTGTTTTCACCTGTCCTAAATCAGGAAACAAAAAGCAGGTATATTATCCAACAACAAACTACAACTACTGTATTACTGTATAAGCTTTTAACTTGGAACACACACATACTGAATGCATCAGAGATAAACACAAAAGCAACTACAAAAACACTTAAGAAACACAGTTCTGTTAATTCTCGCTGTTACTGAAAGCTAGTTCAAAGCCAATAACAACCAATAAAAAAGAACGTGATTCTAAGACCAAATATTAGTTACTAGTATGCATTTGGAACTGATGTTTCCAATACTCATGGAATTTTGCCCCGCTTGAAGAAGATTTTAGTTTACTTTCATAAGGAGCAACCTATATTATGTACAGATTGCTTTGACTTTACTCACGGTGTTTTCTTTAGTAACGTAATGCGACGTCGTTTTCTCGTTTTGGCCGAATTCTGTAAAAATACAAAACGACAGAACAATCCATTTTTATACCGATTACATTTTGATTCTTCGTTTAATTATTAGAGAGAGAGAGACTGTCAAGAAAGAAAGGAAGCAAGCATTATACTGTAACTTTACGTTCCGCTATAAAAATGATTTCCTCTCACAAATAATTAATAAAAAAAATAGTGACTATGATGAACGCATATAACCCACGACCATGAAATAACGGATACCACAGATAAAGTTAAGTCTGCATAATATCTTGACCTTTATCTAAAAATATACATTGAGGGTCGGTTGAGAGTAAAACTTGACGACAAACAAGTTGATTATAATTTCCCCTATTGTTAACAATCTATTTATATGTAGCAACATTCCAGCAGCGCCTGCAAATGAAATATACATCTCCGAGGTGATGCGATATGCCAGTGCTTGCGTTGCCTATCATGATTGTATTGAAATAGGATTGCTAATTACAATGAAGCTATTGAACAAAGGGGTTCAAGTGTTAAATTTAAAGGTATTCTGTCTAATGATTTACGGATGTCATCATGAGTTGGTTGTCCATTATGAAATATCTGTGTTACAGATGACACCAAACGTTGTTCCAAACGTGGTCACCACAATTCCGATCTCTTTTGTTGATTGTGACATGACCAAGTCATTGAAGGGTTCGTGGTGGTCATTCGTAAGTTTTCGATGTAGTATTTTGTGGACTTGTTCGTCTTTTCGTTTTCCTTCAACTTAATAGTTTTTAATACCCTCTTGTTATATTGCGCCCCCTTTTTTAAAATTATTTTTTAAAATGGATATTGTTAAGACGACTGATATTACATTTTTGACACATTGTTTTTTATAATTTTATTGACACATAATTCTATATGTCACTAGTCCTCAGCATGATCAAGATATACCATTATCATGATATTCATTTCTAAGCATAAATATCGCATGGAAACATCAGGTGCCAAAGCTATTTTACTCTTCATTTCGTCATGAGTTGAATTTAAACAAATCTCCATCAACTGGTAATTCTGTCACAGTACTGTTCAGGAATAAATTCAGTACCATTTATAAAATGAGAGCGCCGTTCCTAACATTAACATATATGTGTCTATTCCGAAGTTTTCAATAAAAAATAATCATAATTGGGATAATCGACAACTACAGCACCTATGCATCTCATCCCCAGCTTCAAAATCGGGTCCCTTTTAATTCTCATTTTCGTCATTAAATGGATTATGATTTTACGTTCCATTCATGTGAAATGACAATTTGACAATTCAAATATTTGCTATTTATATCATTAACTAATATTTGTTGAAATGCATTTCTGACATACCAATTTCAAGTTCCCTAGTTCAGAATGATTTTAGCACCTCCTCTGTATTTTTATCATCGCCAATTCGATCTTACCTTCCACAGTGCCATGATAAAAGTACCAAAATTTAGTTGTTAAATCAAAAGACATAAATGCTTCGCATATGATGAAAAGATATATTCATTTTAAAATTATCGAACGTTTATCAGTCTACGTCATATTTAGTTATTTAAGATATGACTTCCACCGATTTATATTAAGGAAAATGACACGAGCAGTTGTTTAAATTTAAAGTATATTATTTTAAGATATTACGTTATAATTCAATTGAATACTTTTGTCTGCAAAAATGCTTCATAAATATAAAGACTTATGTATTTTGTTAATCGCCTAAAGTAAGAAACCAGAGAATGTGCTCCAACTGTGATGGATGTAGAACGGACGCGTTCCCCAGTCACCATTCTTGACGAGTCTAACTTTATCCTCCTTTTTTAGTTTCACAATGATGCTGTTTGTTCCAGTATTTCCTGTTGTAGTTGCAGCAACCGGATACATCCACATTTGATTCTGTTCATTCACTTTTAGTGACATTTCCAATTGTGATTTCCATCTTGTAAATATTGTAGCGGTGAAGTAGTATGTTCCTGCCATTGGGGCCGTAAAAATACCAGTAGCGGCGTTATAAGAATTACCATCGTTAGAAATCACTTTATCAAATACAACCGTATTCCAAGGATCAATATCCTTCATAGAGGTTCCAAGTCTCGCAGAGAACGATATGCCGTTGTGTTCTTTGTTTTCTGAAAGATAAGGACAAATAGGAAAATATACTGAATTTCTAAAATAATTCAATTATCTTAGGGAAATCATAAAAATGCTGATATTTTTTTTTTCGGAAATGATCAATTGACTTTTGTTTTATCAAGAGATTATTCTGGAAATATGTAATACGTTGTTAATCGTTGGTTAAAGACATGTTTTATCCACCACGAAAATATGCTTTCAATGCTAAACAATTATCAAAATATACTACATAAAGTCCAACCTGCATTTTGTCATTTGTGCTGGAAATTGTTGAATACATTGTACTTGTTGATTAACAATTTTCTCTTGATAGATTAAACGTGTCAATACCAAGGAATACCTGTCTTGAACCTATAAGTTGTAAAGGGATAAATCGTTAAGAGAACAATCCCAACCGAAAAACTGGTTGCTGGTCACTTTATTGTTGCTCGGTTAATATTCGCTTTCCACAATTACAAGTTGTGATAAATTGATTTACATATATAAAAAAATCCTTAGTGTCCATTGGCAAATATTTTATGCATATTGGGGACAAAAATCAATTTTACAATTAACCTATAACATATGTTGTAAAAGTTGATGCTCTTCAAATGAACATTATAAGTTATGTAAAAACTCATCAAAGGTACCAGGCTTACAATTTGAAAGGCCAGCAATGAATTCGTCTACATAAAACGCATTAATGGTACTCGAATCAAATCAGTAAGAAGGCCAAATCAAATACGAAGTTGAAAACCAATTAAAACCGAGAATTCATGTATTGTAATCTAGACTTCGTGTGTTACCTTTTTGAATGTCATTTAATCTGTTCACGTAACTGTTGTTGGTTTCTTTGAGTAGCTTCATAGTTTTGTTGTGTAACTTCGAAACGTTTTAGTTCGTTTGATCTATTTCCTCCTTGCATGCATTTTCTTTTTGAATCATTTCTTTAATATGTGCAATTACTTGTTTACTAATCGATTTCAATTCTTCATTGGCTTTCTTCATTTCATTATAAAACTCTTTTTAAATTTGAACTAGTACTATTCTTTGTTCAATATTGTATCCATAGAATGCACTCAACAAAACTAATCCAGCGAGTAGTAAAATAGTTAAATGATTCTCCATTACACACATATATTTAAAAACATAATATTTCTATATCAGTAATGTCACGGGTGACTGACTTATTGTTTACACACACATACATTCGTTTACATACCTTGCGGGTCTGGAGGGTCTTATACATTCCTTAATTTTGAATCAATTTTTCTCTATTTTTATTTTCAAAATTCTTTTCTTTTCTACCATTTTTTTTCCATTTTTTATATTCCCGCATTATTCTGTATTTGTAATGTTTAATCCCTGCATTGTTTTTAACTCTTATTTAAAGGTCCATATTCTTTATTCAGTTAAAACCAATCCACACCTTTTATAATTTCTGTTTATTTAAGGATTATGTTGTGTACACAACGGTATACATAAGATACATTTCGTATGCGAAAAGATAATTTGTACTGTAAACAGTATCAGAATTCAATAGGACGATGAATGACTTTTTTACTCTTAGGGAGCAACCATTTAACTTCGACCAGAATATTTTATTCATCAAATTGGGGATCAGAATATTTTTTTAGAAAAAAAAAATACCCCCCCCCCCCCTGGAAGTTAAATGGTCGTTCCCTTACCTAGTGTGTCACGATTACAAAAATCATTTCATACAATACGCTTTCTATGGATTCTGAAAATCAACGAAAAACTATGTCATTTGTACACGAGTGAGTTCATTTCACTTATTACGACTGACTTATATTGCTTTTTACAGATGTACTTAAAAATGATTGATTGATTGATAGATAGGCTGCTTAACGTCCAGTGACAAAAATAAAGGCATATTGAGGACGAAAACAGAATAACAATATATAGCGTGGCACTCTTTCACACAAGGTATCGGATTTAACGTTCCAGTTCAGACCGGACGTGACATTTGTACGTATTATGTCTGGGTATTTTGTTCACACATTGTTGTTAATATAATTGAATTTTATGCCACTGACATACAAGTGAGACGTTTAGCTAGCAATAAGGCCAAGATTAATCCACCATTTTCTACATAAGGAAATGCCTGTACAAAGTCAGGAATATGACAGTTTTTTTTACATTGATGTGTTTGAGCTTTTGATTTTATATTTGATAATAAAAGGACTTTCCGTTTTGAATTTTCCTTGGAGATTGTTTTTATATTTCACTTTTTGTTACAGTATCTTCAGAATTAATAACACTAACGGTGCCAATTTTTCTGCTCAAGAAAGTATCAAATCAAAGACAAAAAATTAAAAAAATGCTTCCATCAAGTTTTTTTTAACAATGCACTCGTTTTAGTGGCAATGAACAAATTTGATCAACCAAATAAAATCCAGCTAAGGATAAAATTTAAAAGTATGACGTTGTAAAATATAAATACAACATGATCGAGACGACATTTGGCAAATCAAACCGGTTTATTCACAGACACATCGTGTTACTACGAACGATTTCAATAAAAGAAATAGCTTGCTATTTTCGTAATTGTACAGTGTGAATGTATTTTAAATTTCTTTCTTAACACCCATGCTTTGCTTAATTTTAGACAATTGAAAAGAAAACATGTTTCCGATTTTTTTTTCTTTTGTTCAGATGCTCTGTCCTTTTTGCATAATATTCATATTTACTTTGCATATCATTTTCTCAAAAGCAGTGGTTAACGTATATCTTAATCGACATCCATTGAAGGAAATTAACTGTTCGTATTCGTGCAAAAATTGAATTTATTTTTAAACATTGTACAACTTTTTTTTTTAAATCCAATTACCCACAAAGTACAATACATTGTTTTTAAATGTCAACACTGGAACACCAAATACACATATTGTTTAGACTGTCTGTCTTATAACGTCATACTAAAATTAATGTTTATATTTCAAACATAAATGTTATTCTGGGAGTAAATTGTATTAATGAAAACGAGAGCGAAAAGCTATTTTGTTAATATACAGATGTTGACGTTTCTATCAATTTCGTTGTTGTTGCAAATCGTCAGCAGACCAACAAGTTAACAGGATCTAACACTTACTGTTTGCAGTCCCGTTCAGAATGTAAGTAAGAAAGAATGTCACAAAATAATCCATATAATGTGGTAGAATAAAAGACCGTACAATAAGTGCTACAGACAAAACAATTGCATTTGTTTTACAAAATACATATGTATATTTTTGACGACAAATCAGACTTAGGTGGATATGACCGTATCAGTGTTTTGTGTAACATAAAAATTTTAACAAAAAGAAAAAAGTCAGCGAGCGAAAATTAGAAAATTATTGAGACAGCAGATCGTAAAGATGAAGGAAAGTGGGGGTGTCTTATCTGGCTTTCCATCTTTTTAATGACACTGATGAATTTTATCAAGAAAACACGTGCGTCTGGCGTAACAAATGATAAGCCTGATATCATTGACGATTTTCTGGTTTTGTGTTGTGTCGTTTTCAATTTTAAATATATATAATTATATGCCAAACAAAACCTCTACGATATGTCAGGGAAGACAAAACAATTGAATATGATGGACAAATTAATTTTATTAATTTCAGATAATTTTATTGACGTCTGTTCATGTTGATGGTAACCCTTGTTCGCGGTCCTGTTCTCGGAATGTCCGAAAGGAAGAATGACACTTATTTCAAACAATCCAAAAGTTTTATTTTATTTAAATTAAAAGAAATGAAGAAGTAGAATGGAAGACACATTTGACAAAAGCTCTAAAAGGTAAGGTTGTTTAAAATCGTTTTTTAATGTATTGTTTATGACTATTTTTATAAGATTATCAATGTGTAAATCAGACTTAGGTTAATATTACCGTACCAGTTGTTGAGTAGCGTAACAGAGTTTTCTGGCCTTCCATTTTTTTCGGGCGACACTTGTGAGTCTAAATCAGAAAGGACATGCGTCTGCCGTAACAAATCAGAAGCCTGGTGTCATTGATTGTTTTTTTTTGTTTTTTTTTTATTTCTTTTTGTGATATTTACTATACTGAAATATGCATTCATAGAAGGAGATTTACTGTTTATGTTCATGTTGAAATTCAAGTTATCGTTTTATCTACAGCTTCTATTATCACTGAAATTACTCACATTCGAAAGTATCAAAACTGAAAAAAACAATAGATGTGTTGACTTTCTATTTGATTATATTATATTTCAAAGTTTATATATAAAACATAAAAAAAATCTTATTACCACAGATGACGAAAGCAGAAACATGAGAAAGTTAACTTGTTGGTTCATAGATTTTAACGTAAGTCAATAAAAAGTCCGCAGTTGGTGTGCAAGAGTAGAATAACATAACCTTCACGACATATTCGATATATTTAGAAGGATAACACAATTGAATATTTTAATTTCACTAATGTTACAAGTAATTTTATTGACGTCTGTAAATTTTGATAGTAAATCTGTTTGAAGTGTAGTTTGAATGCCAGTAAGACATAATGCCTCTTATTTCAAACAATTTAAAAGCTCCACTGGTAGCTGAACTAGATATAACTTCAATAAACCAACAGTTGAAAACTTACATCAGTGATGATATTAATCCTCTTTTTCTAAAGATATTCAAGATATATGGAAAGATGAGCAAGCCCATTTAAAGACATTAATGTTAAAAGATCACTCGTTCAAACTGGACACAACAAAGGAAGAATACGGTAAGGAAATGTCGAATACAATTGAAAATATTGAAGCCAAACAAGGAGAGATACACATTTCGAAAGTGTGAAAACTGCCCAAACAATACATACGTGGTTTAAACTTCCTATCAAATTACAGAATATTTCTAAATTCATTTTTTTATATAAAACATAACAATTAATTCTTTTTACCACTGGTGATGAAAGCAGAAAGCTGATTTGTTGGTTTATATATTTTGATCTCTATTGAAAGTCTGTAGTTAGTCTGCATTTGTACAGCATAATTTAGGAACCTGCACGACATATTCGATATATACCAAGGAGGATAAAACAGTCGAATATGAAGGAAAAAATAATTTCATATATTTTACATATTTTACAGATGATTATGTAAATCAATGTTGCATGTAGTTCGGAATGTCAGAAAGAAAGAATGCTACTTGTGACACATATTCTTAAAGCTCCACTAGTAGCTGAACTATATATTACTTCAATAAACCGACAGTTGAAAACTAAAATCAGTGATGACTTGATATGCTTTTTCTTAAATATTCCGAAATTTTGAATTTACCGACTTCGAGACATCGAGAGTTAACTTTTTTGAGACTTTCCATCTAATAACGTAATATTTCAAAGTTAATATATAAGATATAAAAAAAAATCTTATTTTCAAGTATGACGAAAGCATAGAGATGATGAGTTGGTTCAAAGGTATCCACGTCTATAAATGGTCCGTAGTTGGTGTGCATATGAAAAGAATAATAACAGGACCTTCATTGCATATTCAATATATGTGGGAGGATAACACAATTGAATATCTTAATATTATTTACAGATAACTGTATTGACATCTAGAAATATGGATGGTAAACCATGATCGCTTTGTGGTTTAGAATGGCAGTAAGAAAGAATGCCTCTTAATTTAAACTATCTAAAAGCTCCACTGGTAGCTGAACTAGATATAACTTCAATAAACCGACAGTTTAAAACGTATATCAGTGATGATATTGATTCACTTTTTCGGCAGATATTCAAGACATATGGACACATTAGCAAGCCCAATTAAAGCCTTTAAAGATATTGCCAGTAATATACTCTACCATCGGTATTTATTACATTGGTGAAGTCCGTAAAATTTCCAAATAATTAGTCAATTACTTTTCTAAAATAACCACAAACAAAATTCACTTTTGTAGTAATAACAATAACACAAAATCTGGACTTCCAGTTATTGAAATACAATACATAGTTAATAGTATAAGTAATACTCAATCCGCTCTGCTAACCAACACGTCTTTAAGTTTGTTCTCAACGATTGTGTGCTAAACGTTCTGGAACACCTTTTTGTTGTTCATGTTGTTGTCAGTTTAGTGGACTCATCATTATTTATGGAGTTCTTGGCATTATATCTCTCTTAACACTTTCAGAACTATGTGTGATATATTTTAACTCAAATGGTATATATATATATATATATATATATATATATATATATATACATATACCTATAGATATAGGAAGATGTGGTATGAGTGCCAATGAGAATACTCTCCATCCAAGTAACAATTTATAAAAATAAACCATTATAGGTCAAGGTACGGCCTTCAACACGGAGCATTGGCTCACACCGAACAGCAAGCTATAAAGGGCCCCAAAAATTACTAGACGTGTAAAACCATTCGAACGGGAAAACCAAAATAAAGACCTAATAGACAAACAAAACAATAGCACACTATCAACCGCAAATTCATGTGTTCACACAGATTCGATTTTTAAATCATTTCCCGATAAAAGAGCTTACAACCATTTTTTTTACATCTTTCGACGACCATACACTAAGCATGTAAAGAGAAAGATGCTAATTTAACCACTACGTTAAATCCAGTACACATAAAGAAAGCTTTTAATGAGCCATTTTTTTAACATACACAGTGTCTGATGGAATCAGGAGCTTTATTTACTATGATTTCAACCAGCTGCAGGCAAATGGATCTATAGATAATGTATTCAAAGATGTAAATTCTATTTATAGTTTATTTGTATGTTATTGTGTATGAACAGATGCCGACAACTTACATATCTTATCTTTATAAACGTAGTAAAGTACAACTCCTTAATGGGTCAATTGACAATTTTGGACCTTTGACTTATTTGTAGATCTTACTTTGCTGAACATTTTTAATGTTTACAGTTTATCTTTTAAATTATCTATGATAATATTCAAGATAATAACCAAAAACTGCAAAATTTCTTTAAAATTATCAATTTAGGGGCAGTAACCCAAAAATCGGTTGTCTGATTCGTCTGACCTAATGAACACTTTTATCCCATGTCAGATTTGCTCTAAATGCTTTAGCTTTTGAGATATAAGCCAAAAACTGCATTTTCCCCTTTGTTCTATTTTTATCCATGGCGGTCAAGTTTTTTGCCGAAACAAAAAATAAAAACGCAAACTTTATACTAGATACCCCAAGGATCATTCAGCTTAATTTTGTTTGAAATTGGTTCAGTAGTTTCAGAGGAGAAGATCTTTGAAATAGTTTACACGGACGACGGACGACGACGGACGCCAAGTGATGGCAAAACTCACATTTCCTTTTAGGAAAGGTGAGCTTAAAAGGACATTTGCCCATACTAGTATCCTGGTATAGCTGTAATGTGCTCTCGACTGTGTTTATTTACCTGTTTTAATCTTATTTAGTTCTTCGCGTAATGCATTTACGTCTGGTCTAATTTGATTTATTTCTTTCCTGCAGGCACTGTCTTTTTCTATCATTTCTTTACGAAGTATATCAATTTGCTCTTTCGTCGTATCCAATTCTACTTTCACTTGTTTAAGTTCATTTCTCGTCGATTCCAATTCTACTTTCACTTGTTTCAGTTCATTTCTCGTCGATTCCAATTCTACTTTCACTTGTTTAACTTCCTTTTTCGTCGATTCAAATTATATTTTAACTTCTTTAAGTTCATTTCTCGTAGATTCCAATTCTACTTTCACTCGTTTAAGTTCATTTTTCGTCGATTCCAATTCTACTTTTACTTGTGTAAGTTCCTTTCTCGTCGATTCCAATTCTACTTTCACTTGTGTAAGTTCGTTTTTCGTCGATTCCAATTCTACTTTCACTTGTGTAAGTGCCTTGTTGATCGATTCCAATTCTTTCTTCACCTTTTGTATTTCATTTCCGTGTTGAAGTAACTCGTCTTTTATTTGGACTATTTTTTGTTGTACATATAATGCACCAAACAAAACAAATACAGAGAGTAGCAAAACAACTAAATAATTCTCCATTACTGTTATGTTTAAAACATAAAATGTCCTTATTAGTAACCTTCACGGGTGACTGACAGGTTTAAATATTGTTTGAACAAAGAAGTTTAAAGTCCATTAGGCTCTGGCTGGTGGGGTCTTCAGTTCCTAATTCTTTAAATGTTAACATTTTTTCTCTTTTCTTTATTTTTCCCTATTATTCTCTTTTTTTATGTTTGAGCATTCCATCATTCTGTATTCTAATTTTTTTGTCCTACTTTTTTTATATTCTGCAATTTTTAATCCATTATTCTTTATTCTATAGACCTCATCGACGCCATTTCGTGGTTTGGATAATATACCTGAGTCATGGGGAAAGATAAGCCTATTCAGTTCCGCCAGTGATTTTTTTCTTTATTTATTACAAGTGCCATTCTATACATAATTATAAGAGACTATAGAAATCAAAATAAATAATAACTATATATTCATCATGTCTATAAAACATTTCCGTTCTGTAAAACCATATAACTACATTTGTCATGTCTATAAAATATATATATTTAGAAAAAGTGTAACAAAACCACCTATCATCATATTGCTAGTAGCATAAGTAGCATTGTTTGGTAAATTTGTGCTTTTTTTAATTGGGCTTCTGGACAAAAAATGTTTGGTTCAAATGTAAATAAAATGCTTTTATCTCCCCATTACTACTTACATCGAATGGATACTACTTCAACAATTGATGCATATGAGAGTTGTCTGTCAAATCTTTATTTCCTAAAGAATTAATTGCATAACGATAAACTGAGCTCAGGGCAATGCACTTTAATAATACACTTAGACAAAGAGCTCAATCCAGTGATATACTTTGTACTACAGGTCTTTCATGAACATCCGTCCTCCATAACCACATCTCACAAACATGACATACTACATGGAGCAGAAGTCCTGAAAAAGACATGAATTGTTTTCATATTTACAGTATATTCACCGGATAAAACTTTTACAAAGTTGTGGTAAAATCATTCGGTACCTAGCAAGTAACAATTGCTTCATGCACAAATTGAAATAGGCTGATTGCCCCTCTGTTTGAAATAAGAACATACTCCACCTAATCATAGTAAACTGATGAACACACATTCAAAACTATAAAATGTTATCAGACTTATCAGAAATATATGACCCGGATTTGTTTCAGTTAAATCGATAGATGACTATTGAACAGCGGCATACTACTATTGCCTTTATTTATCAGTGTCTATTTACCATCACAACTGAATCAATAATATATGTATAAATATATAAGACTCAGATTGGCGTCCGGTCTCTAATCGACCATCATTCTTCAAGTTGATGTCCAAATCCGACTTCATAATAAAATAAGATTCCAAATCTATGACCAATTATATACCCCTCTAATAGACGTCTATTTGTTGTTTTTTAATCAATGTCCCAAAAGTATTGGATTCCCTTATTGACATCCTTTTTACAGACTAGCCGCGATGAAATCACAGTTTTATGAAATGGTAGGTGGAACCAAAAACTAAAAAATTTGTGAAAGATATAATATTTTAAATCTTGCAAAAACATGTAATAATGATTCTTTTAAAAAATTGGCTGAATTTTTTTAATTTTGTCTATTGTTTGAGACTGTATATTGACCTCTAGATGTCTTTCAATTACATTCAGTTTGGCGTTGGGTTGATGTCTGATTGTTGTAATATCGACGTTGGATTTATTTATATAAATAACAACTATTCACCAGAGTTCAAATAAAGTGGATGTAAGCAATTATAGGCAACAATACGGCCTTCAAAAATGAGAAAAACTCATACTGTATAATCGGCTGTAAAAGGGCCCAACATGTTTATATTGCAATACAGTTTATATTGATAAGATCTATTCAAATACCTTTCAAGACATCATAATTATTTGCATTTGTTCTGTGATTGATAGTGGTATTAAGGACTGGAATGAGATCAAATATGTATGTAGGACTCTAAAGTGCGATGGGGACGCTAAAACGCGATGGTCACGCTAAAGTGCGATGGCCTACGCTAAAGTGTGATGGTTTGATACGCTAAAGTGCGATGACATGCGCTATTTAATGAAACATGCTAAAGTGCGATGCCGCAATACGCTAAAGTGCGTTTTTCCGCGAAAGTATGGATATGTGCAACGTTAAATAGCATTATGACGCTAAAAGGCATTTGTACAAACAAAAATGGACATGCCGGTAAACGAGAATGTGTGTGCAGATGAAGGTTTTTTACTAGACAAGAAAAAAGAAACAAATGATCCCAATTTGGAACATTTTTGGTCGGTGCTAGAATAGTTTGTATGCGGAGGAGTTATTTCCCAAAAAATCATCCTCTGTAACAGAAATGCAAACCTTTGACCCAGCTGTGTCTTCGGGGAAAAACGTATTTCTGTCAGGATACTGGGGAAAAAATACTTCTCATAAACATAGAAACTGACGTTAGTAAGGAGAAGGTGTATACCGTCAAAAGAGCGAAAACTGCAAAATACTCCAAGGGTCCAAATTTGATTTAGAAACTCCAATTATGTTTTTAACCCTTTCCGTGCCAAGACCAAAATTCAAATTTGCCAAGAGGTTACGAACGAAACAATATTTCGACGTCACAATATAGGTATAATCTTCGACGACGTTGACGTTCTATCGCACCTGTTTTACACGTTCGCATATATATTTAATGTTGTTTAAAAAAATAAGTTAACAGTTAAAATTGAATTGACTCAGAATACGTATAAATTGTGGTCTCGAATTCTTTTTTTTTAATCTCACGTTGAACTGTAATACATGAAAACTTGATGTAAAAAAATTCAAAACAACAAAACAAAACAAAAGTTTTGATAAATACTAGACAAAGGTTTCAATGTTGTGCTTTACAAGCTAAAGTAAATCTCCATATTAAAATTTCGCTTTTATTATGTTTTTTTTTTATCTTGAATTATGTTATTTTTAATTTCCATATTTTTGGCACGTTATTACACATTAGAAAAGCAAGAGAAAAAAGGAAGAGAAATAACAAAACTAAAACATTTTTACAAAAAAACACTACATGTACATATCTACCATAAGAAATGTTGAGTTCGCCGAAGAGACCCTAATTGGACTTGCTCTTTTTCCTCTGACACGTTATTTTGCAACAGTCAGCACGTGACTCTTCATTCATTCCGTTGAGTGATCGAATTTTTTTTAAAATTTACTTATTGATATATAGGTCTAGTAAAATAATAGAAATTATTCGAATACTAATGTACAGACAGTTTACAGATTAAATAAGCAAACGAATAACAATCTTGTAGTTGTGATCAAACTAAAGTTTTATTTGTAAGTTTTATTCTCAATTGAAGGTGAATTACCACTGGTAATTTAAGTGAAATAGTGGTCTGCAACTATTCCTTAATTAATGTTTCTAAGAATGTATACTAGTGCCATTTTGTGATAAAGTATAAGCATAAGTCCCATATCAATCTGCCCGGCAATCTGTTATTTCAGTCCCAGGTGGTGACCGGAGTGTATAAATATGGACCCCAAAACCGATACCTCCCAAAAGGAGTTTCATAAACTTTATAAGCCTTTCAACAGGAAAACCTCTTTCGGTTGTCAGTAAGTGGCCTGCTGCAAGATAAAATATGTACCCCTATCTTTTTTCAATTAACAGTTCCGTCCTTCTCTCCTGTGTAACATATTTGCCGAACATACCTTTTATATTTCTTATGCCCGCAAATCATGAATATGGATGACATTCTTAAAGCAGTATTTTAATTGATTTAATCTATTAACTTTCCCACTGTAGTTGTTCAGTAAAGATGAACATCTGAAACTTATTTTGAAATCTTAAAAAAAAAAGATTGCTACAAACAAAAAAAGTCATGGAAATTCTTCATGTTTCTTTGTTGCTGATATTTCTATTCTAACCGTCGCTGAATGTGAAGCCAGCCGAATTGGATTTAGATATTTGCAAAATATTAAGTTAACATGTCACTGATTTTGTTGGAAAATATAAATTGTTATTTGAAATTTTATGTTTCATGTCGAATTTTAAAACAAGAAGATGTGAAAGCTGGATGTTCATGATGTTAAACTTGTAAAACATTTAATGTTTATTTTACTTATAATACAAATCGTCATGAGGCCGACCGAAATATATTGATCTTTATTCATTTCAACGAAAATGCATTCGTAAGTTTTTGATAATAGGTAAGCGTTTTACAGTTTATTTCATAGATATATAAATCTTAATCCTATATTTCATCTGTGTTCTTTGGGTGAAGAATTTACGATTGACTTCCATACCAGTCTTTTTATGAATTAATGAAGATGTAGGCACACCGTCTGTTCATGTTTTGGTAGCAGGGTTTATAAACGAATTGTTTGATTTCAAATGTCTTGAAAAAAAAGGTTTTAGAAGTTTAGTGGAAAAGAGTTGTTTCCATTGAAAATTATTCAAACTTTCAGTTTTCAATAAAAAAAAAAGTTATTTTTCCTATATGTTACTGAATGCAATCGTTTTCCAATAAAACAGAATAACGTGTTTGTCCAAGAAAAAAACCCATTTTGCCTCCATGCATTCGCACCCCAAACCGCCACTAAAATTATTTGTAAGTGACTTAAAAGTTGTCTTGTTGACGATTCATCAAATTTTTAATTTGCTAATTAGGTTAGC